TTCTGAAAAATGGTCTAAACTGAATTTGAGCCCAGACAGACTACATTTCACAGATTTTTAGAAGCAACTGGACCACATTCTCCTCTAAATTGCAAATCTAAGTCAATGGTTTTTACTAAGAACAGAATTTGGTCCATTATTAGAAAGTCCTGCACTTAAAAAAACGGTGGGAAGCTTCTTTACACAGGGTATGAAACACATTGTACATCTGCTTTGCACACATGAGTTTTGCAAGGTCCATCCCTAGGGGAGTGTGAATTGGGGTGACTGCCCCAGGACCCACACTTTAGGGGACCCCGCAGACATTGCCATACAGACCCCACCATGGCCCTGCTGCCACCACTGGCAGCTGCAGGGAGTTGCTACCACTCCCCACCATCGCTGCCACCACCACTGGCTTCTGTGGGCAGTCGCCACCCCCTTCTCCCCCCTGCTGCCGCCACTAGCTTCTGCAGGCAGTCACCACCCCCCCACCTTGCTGCTGCTGTCAGCTTCTGTGGGCAGCCACCCCTCCCCCACCTCCCCTGGCAGTTGACACTACTGCCAGCTTCTGTAGGTGGTCACCACCCCTACCCCATGGCCCTGCATAGGCTGATATGCCCTGGGCCCACACATCCCTAGGGACAGCTCTCGCAGTCATTTCTGATGGACTTCAGAAGTGTGCTGAGAAAGCTATTGGCTAGCATCAAAGTAATCAGCTTTCAGGATGCAAGATCCGGGATACAGTCCTAGATGTTTCCACACACCTCTACAAGTGGGAGATGGTTATGTCACTTCTGGCTCTGATTATCATAACCACCATATTGCTATGCAACAGACAGGCTAAGTATCTATACTTCAGCTACCTCCTAACCCACAACCGTTTTGTTCTCTGTACCAGGCAGTATTGTACTTTGTCCCCTCGCTATATAAAACAGGACATTGCCTGCTGCTGATGTAGGACCAATTTTTCAAACTCAGGATGACAATTCTACTTCGGGTAGTCCTCAGGAAGGCTGGGACAGCCTCAAAATTCAGGACTGTCCTGGAAAATTCAGGCTAGCTGGTTGCTTTAGTTAGCATATGTATTAGTGGGGTTTTGCCCTTCTGCAGTAAGCAAGCAATTATTTCATTAACATTCACTTCTATAAGATACTTTGTCTTTCAGACTTACTGCAGCCTACCTAGTCAGGGGATCAGGCTAGTGGGAATTATGAACTCATACAGTGCATTAATTATCTGTTTCTATAGTAACTCACACTACAGATTACTTCACACTGTGTAACAGAGGGGAGCACCTGGTATGCATGAAAGCTAAATAACAGCTGTTTGAGATATGTTTCTAAACATTAAGATCTATCTGTAGAGGGGGAATATGTAGAATATATGGAATAAAGTTAGTTAGGAAGAAGAAATATAACAATGGTGTGAGAAAAGGGAGATAGGAAAAGTCCTTTTCAGTTTGCTGGTTTTGAATCTTCTCTTTTTTTCCCCAATAGGTGTGAACCTACTTGCCTTCATCATAATACTGTTTTCATATGTCAGTATGTTTTATTCCATAAAAAAAACTGCCCTTCAGACATCAGAAGTCAGGAGCCATATTCATAGGGATGTTGCTGTTGCCAATCGATTTTTTTTTATAGTATTCACTGATGCCATCTGCTGGATTCCTGTTTTTGTTATAAAAATCCTGTCTCTGTTCCAAGTAGAAATTCTAGGTAAATTTAATTTTGCTCTTTGATAATGTGATTTCTTAGCTCTTCTTTTGTTGAAGTTTCAATGTTCATATAAAGCTGGACCCTGTGATCTTTGCCCAGTACTTCTGCAGGCAAAATTCTCATTAATTATGAAGGAGTTTATCTGAGAAAGGACCCAAGGATTGTTCACAGGGTTTAAATATTTATCAAAACATCTGGCCTGATACTTGGCTTCTGCTGTATTCAGGAATCAGAGAAAAATAAACTGGTATTGCCCTCAAAATTCACATGTGGAACCGAGAACTGTACAAGCACTTCTACTGCCATGGCTGCACAATCTCAAAATGATACTCAGAAATCAGCCCAAGAGTAGGGTTTAGACAGTTCAAACTCTAGACCTGTAATTAATATGCTGACAAGTTCCCAACTGTATGACTTCCAGATAATACTTGAATAAAAGAGATGGAACAGGGGCTGGCTTCCCGGATTAAGGACAACAAGAAGTCCTTTTTTAAACACATAGGGAGTAGAAAGAAGGCCCCAGGAAATGTGGGGCCCTTGCAGGACAAGACGGGGAATCTGGTTGTCACACCAGACGACAAAGCCAACATATTTAATAACTTCTTTGCCTCTGTCTTCCTCAGTAACGACCAGAACTGCCGCCTCCCTGCTGGGCCCCCTTCGGGCCCGGGGGGGGGCTCACCTGGGCCTAGAGTGAGTGAGGATTTAGTTAGGGAGCTTCTGGAGGGGCTGGACGTCTTTAAGTCAGCCGGCCCAGATGATCTTCACCCTAGAGTCCTAAAGGAACTGGCTGGGGTCATTGCAAGTCCCCTGGCACGGCTTTATGAACACTC